GAACCTGAGAAGTGCACAGATAAACATGTCTGTATGCACTGCATAGAGCCCACCCACTGGACAAGACAAACAATGAGTACAGATAAACAATTAGTCTAGTTATTCAGTGGTGTAAAATTTTTAGAAACATCAAACACATCAAACATTAATATAGCAATGTCAGTATATTCAGAGACCGAGGGTGTGAATTCCCAAGGCAACGTCTTTGACCTTATTCAAGTAGAATATTATGCACAAAATGAGAATAAATATTCTAAAAATAGAAATTGAGAGAATCAGCCTGAATGCACTGTGAAAAGCTTCTTAAAATGAAATCTGAGATACTTTACTGTGATTGAGCAACGTATTAATAGCTAAATCTTGGCTTTAAAACATTACATTTAGCTTAACAGTAATAATTATAATAATAATGTGGACATTTGGCTTCACAGGCTGGTTAAAACACATACTGTAAATCACAATTTCAAACAATAATAAATAAAAAAACATACACAATACAGACAACAATAACGGAAATGGTTCCAGTGTTAGACATGTTTATGAGTTGAAGTTATTGCATTTGATATGAAATACTTTTTGTAAATGATCTTGGTTGACCAAAAACAATGTTGCACTACCTGACATGTCCCTTCATTGCCATGAACATGAACAAGGAAGTTTATCTTTAGTCAGTCCATCCTAACATTATTCCAGAGCTCAGAATCACTGTCACGATTCATTTAATTCAAACAGAGGCCTGTACCCGAGTAAGTCTGAAGCTTTTGCACTCAAATCCAAAGTCAGGTCCCAAGTCAAGACAGGCAAGTCCAAAGTGCTAAGCTTTTTAGTTTTCAGTCCTAAACAAGTCATAATGTGCTCTTAACTAAATGTAATGCCATTTTAACATCAGAGTAATACTATATTAAAGAGGCTATATTTTGCTCTTCTTTAGGTTCATACTTTTATATGGTGGTCTAGATTAGGTTTACATGCTTTCGTGTTCATGAAACACACTATTTTTCTTATACTGTATATTGCTGCATGCACTACATGCCACATTCACCCTTTCACACAGTGATGGCAAAGCCAATCAAACAGAAACTACTTCTTGAGCTGTATGTTCCCTGTGCAGCACACTGGTGCCAGTCAGACTTTATGCATTCTCTGGCGTTAGTTTTCAATGGGTACTTTTATAAATGCTGTGGGTAAACAACTAATCAGAGCCAAGAAAGATAGATTGATGGATAGACTATTGAGTCTCATTCCCAGGGCATCATATATCGATGCTGGGAATGAGACTCAATAATCAACTATCTTCAAGCCACAAGACCAAAACGTCTTTCTCTGCTAATGTATTAGTAACACAAGGAGGAGCCAGAGGAACCAGATTTTTTCACAGATTATCTGTCTCATGTTCTATTGTCAGAACACCTTAAAAATTCAGCAATAATAACAAAAAAATATTTGTATAAAAAGTACCTACTGCAGCGTTAAGATTTTGAAAATGCATAATGTGCAAAAAAAAATATGAGGCATTCCTATACAGTAAATTAAATTTCACAGCATATAAATTTAAAAAGAATGATCCCCACCTACAACATAAAAATGCATTAGTAATATCATTCATACCCAATAATATAATATGCAATAATGTAACGCTAATAATTTTATTTACTGTAGTATTGCTGTATGATCTAAAGTTGTTCTCCACTGCTGGTTAAGATGCTGTGGGACTGCTGGCTTGTATCATAGTTTTTAATTCTACAGCTGATTACATGTGCTAGGACTGAATTTCTACATGGATTAAAAAAGAAAAAAAGACAATTCCCCTTAGAGCAACTGCATCTGAAACTCATTCTCTTCTGTTTTTTTGCTCGTTTTTTAATAAATCTATTGAATGTGCTGTGAAAAAAATAGACTTTATCATTCCAATGTAATCCTCACCCTTCACCAGTCGGGGATATTCTTCAGTATGAGAAGGCCACCTCACCTGTTTGAATAGGAAATGATTGCTGAGTGTGTCTGCCTCACGCAGCCAAGTGCTCTCTTGAGTTTAACCCTTCTGGCTAAAGATAGATCCCCTGAGACTCTCTTGAGCTCCACTGAGTGTGCTCTTAACTTTATTCAGCTTCTGTTTGCTTCTTTCCTTTTGATTTGCCTCACGTCTAATGTAGAACACATTTTCCAGGGGATGACAGGTTTATATTTAACAGTCTGTACTTAGCATGCAATTAGATTGTGATACATTTCTGAAAAACAAGTTACAGTTTTGCAGATTAACTCTTATTTCATTGATCTGTACCTGTGAAATCCAAAGCTTGGTGGCTTTTGGCACTTGATCTTTTTTTTTTTTGTCTTTTGATGAAAATCTAGCTTAGCCACAATTAAGTCATGATTATTTAACATAACCTAAAGATGTTACGTTGTGCATTTTTAATTGTTCTGTCTCATATCCTAGGCTCAGAGGCAGAGCGGGTCGTCCTCTAGTTGGAAGGTTGTTGGTTCGATCCCTGGCTCCTCTCGCCACATGTCGAAGTATCCTTGAGCAAGATACTAAACCCCGAATTGCTCCCGATGCTGT